TTTTCCACAACAGTTACTGAAAATGTAGTCCCAGCATCAGCAAAAGAATGTAGGCAAGAGATAACTGTTGGGAGGTTAGCAGTTTAAAGAATTTCTGCTGTAAAAGCTTCAATATTTTTAATCTTTAAATCAGAACTTTTGTGTTTTCTTGTTAAGCTTTCCCAAGCAATAAAAATGTTACTAAAAAAAATGAAGGGAGATTTTACGTTTTTATAGCAGGTCAAGATACTGTGCAAAAGTCACAAAATGGGTAGTCATTAAAGAGATGGCATCTTTCAAAACAAAACTTTGTGATTCTGAAATGAATTTTCTTCCCTTCCCTCCACCTTTTTTCTCTTTCGCCTTTCCCCTGGAAAACTATTTTAGTATCACCAGATTTTGGTCTCACAGCCTAACAGGTAGATTTGATGATCATCCTGGTGGTATTTTTCAAAAATACCTGTACAACTTCAGAAGTTGCACTGAAAATCATTGGCTTGTGGTACTAACTGATACAGTCACTTCTGAAAACTGCACTCTGCAGTTTTGAAAAGTTCTCTTAATTTGGAGGCTCACCACGTTTTTGCTGACCTCCTAGCATTTACTTTTAGTTCTGAATGGAGAATCTGTCCCTGAATAATATGGAAAAATGTGATTCCTGGATGAACAGATCCATTAGTCATTGTACTGTGGGAATGAGAAGAGATTGTAGCAGAAAATGGGTGTACACTGGTGCTAAGATTTCTTGTTGGCAGTACTGGGAGGGGGGGAATCTTAAATTGGGACTTGTGGACATAGTTTTAGCTTGATTAGAATGAGGGAAGAGACTTGCTGTTATTTCAGTGGGGCAAGATTCAATTCCTTAGTTTTTGTTGAGATTTCTGGAGAGGCAGAAGGCAAAGGGGGGAGCTTTGAGTATACTCATCAGGCACTAAAAAAATAGGGATTGTTTTTTACCAAGTCTAGATAAAATTTGAAACCCACCTTTTTTGTCCATCCCTTCAAAGACATTGCAGCTTGAAAAAGCTCTAATGAAATTTTTCTTCATTGTGCTTTGCTTTCCCTACTCTTATGTGAGGTTATATTAGTGCATAGATACAGAATTTGCCACTAGTGCATTTAGACAGTGGAGACTGGGTCTAGACTGAAAGCTGAAGAAGAGACAGACTTGCTGAACCCTTAGAGCTGAATCCAGTGTGCTTTACGTCCCCAGCTTTTATCAAGTCGGGAGGTTGGGTGTAAATGACCCACACAATTCTTGGAAGAAGCCAGTCCCAAAACGTCTGACAATGGAAAGGATCTACTCTATTCGGTGCTACCTATATCCAGTTTGCTCAGATAATGAGAACAGGAGAGCTAAGGCTTGAATGCGCTCATGAGTTTTCCCCCTTCAGAAGGCTAGAGTTGGGATGATTTACAGCATGATTAGTGGCAGAGTCTAGTCTTGAGAATGAGCTGAGGTCCCTGCTTATTGTACAGTGTGGATATGCTCTGAGTGTGAAAAAAATGCTGCCAGAGCCTGACTAGATGGCCTAGAAAGGCCTTCATCAAAGTAGGGAGCTGTCATAAATATTAGATTTTAATAGTTTTGTTCTTGATGAAAATTCTGAATTTGGTGTATGGCTTGGGAAACTCACTCTTAAGAACTTCATGTAGTAAGTTAACCCGCTGATAATGCATAACTGAGAGAGCCTACTGCACGTGACAGGGCATTAGCAGAGAAAGGTTCCTCTGGTAGGTCAAGAGTGGGACAACAGTTTAGGACAGGGTAGGTGTTCAACTTGTAAAATCAGATAATTCTATGTTGGTAGGATAGAGAAGAAAGACTGTGGAGGTAAAACCATCACCTTGGGAAAAATAGGTAAGCAAGTTGATGATTTTGGCAGGAAAGCCAGCTGCAAAGTAGAATGGTAGCAAAAAGAGAAACTTTATGGAAACACCAAAACCAGAGCAGCTTCAGAACCCAATTAGCCTTAATTTTTTTGTATGACTTCCATTTTTAGTTTCAGCCAAAGTTGGCTGTATCCAGGCTATTCTTATGGAGTGTTCATCCAACCTGTGTCAGAAAGAAATTTGTTTTATGTTATTTCTAGTCCAGTTTTGTAGAGAGTCAGAGGATTGTGAAAATATCTAAGAGTTTATTTGGTTTTCCAAACTAAGCTACCAAGCTTCTCCAGATCCTTTTTTTCTTAGATAGTTATTTTTTGACAGTATTATGATAGCATTATGGAATGCCATCTTATCTGTGAGGTACAGGCATTGCTTATGTATTGTATGTGCTGACTAGTCAATTCAATATATGCTTTGAACCAACTATTAAATGGTGATACTTTTGTTCTAAATATATTGTTTTGATTTCACAGGTGCCTGCATAAATATCACCAACAGCCAGTGCCAAATGCTGCCATATAACTACACCACTATAACTTCAGTTCTTTCCATTGTCAAAAGTATTGAAATGGAAAAGTTCCTGAAGTTCTTCAGTTATCTCAATCGTCTCAGCTGCTATCAACACATCATGCTGTTTGGCTGTAGTCTTGCTCTTCCTGAATGCATCAGTGACGGTGATGACAGGTATTTGGGAACGAAAATCAGTCAGTGACTAGAGCCAATTGTGGTAAAATACCCTCTGTCTAATCAGACAAGGGAAGATCCAAGCTAAGCCTATGACCTTCTCATTGCAAAACTCCTGTCTGTCAAAGCTATTCACAACATTTCTGCCATGATAAGCCGACTGCAATAGAGTTCTCTTAGAAAAAATATTGCCACTGTATGGAATAAAACGGGGATATTAGGGCAGTCAGGCTTATTTTCTTAAAAAAGGCTGTCCAAAATTCTTGTACCTCATTTGTTCAATCTGGATGTGCCGAAATGGAATGCTTTGTAACAACATAAATGTATTGGGTATTTATAGTATTGGCATAAAGTGTGGTGGCTGTTAGTTAAATTAAACTTCAAATTTTTTTAGTCTTTCCTTCAGAAAAGTTAGTATTTTAAATATATTTTATGGTATTAGATTAGCAGGATGTATTCAGAGTGACATAAACTGTTTTGGAAGCTTAAGAAGCATGTCTTGTTTTCTGTATTTACGTAATTACACAGCATTAGTATCATGTGCATGCACTTTTTTCATTGAGTTTGATTTGAAAAAGGATCAGTGAGTTTAACAGTGCTAAAATCAAAATACGGCACAAAAAGGAAAAAAGGAATTTTTTTTTTTTTAATATGTATACAATCTCTGATGTTTCTGGAGGGGGAAAGAGAGAGGGTAGATTTTTTTCTCCTTATTTTCATTTCTCCTTATTTCCATTTTCTCCACTGCGAAATTCAGTGGAAGAGAGTATGGCAATTGAATAAGTGATTCAATTAACACAACAAGAAACAAGAAGCCGAAAGCTATGCAGTTTAGAAGGGATAGGATGCTTATGAAAAAAGTTCTATGAGATGAGGTAAGCTGGTCTAAAATATAGTTGCCAATGAAAGGTACAGTCCCACTCCAGGCAATATATGCCTGCCATTTCCATTGCACCAGGGTGATTCCTGGATTGGCCAATTAAGCTCACTAAACTGGCAGAAAACTAACCCAGAAAAAAAGTGTGTACAGATGATTATATGGATAGGGTTAGGGTGGAGGTAAGGCAGCATGGGTAACGGTGGAGCGAGACTGACCATTAGACTGGCTGAGGTGTTTAATCCAAATACACCTGTGTGCATATCTTTGTTAGACTACCAAAAACTATTTTCAATTAACCCTGTTTAATTCAGTGCATGATTAATTATAGCCCCCCGGCTCCAACTCAGTATTACAATTGTTCCAGTTAAAGAATCTGATAACATACAGTCTTAAGCTACTTGCTGTCTCTAGAAATCATAGAACAAAGTAAGAAGAGTCGGTTCAGGTAATAAATGGATGCATTTAAATGTTCAACAACAGAAGAGGCCATTTCTCTGTTGCTTCACTTATTCTGTCTTGTTTGGAATTCGACTTTCACAAACCTTTTGAGAGTAAGTGGTGCGCGTCAAAAGTGCAAAGCTCATAAATCAATCAAATAAATAGAGTTGTGAAAGGATAAGATTTTTACCTTTCCTCTTCCATTTCTTTCCTGAAGACATCTTTCTTGCAGGGCTTAACATTATGACAGTTGCCTTGCTAATTTAGAAAGAATAGAAGTTAAACTAATGTTTGGAACATGCAGTTTTTTTCTCTGGTTTTGGGTGGCAACGAAAATACTTTGAGATTCAAGAGTCAGGGTTTTTCTTTGTGTGTGTGTGGGTTTTTTTTTCACAGCAGCAACCTTCTCACATTAATTTTTAGTGTCAAACAACGAAAATACTTTGAGATTCAAGAGTCAGGGTTTTTCTGTGTGTGTGTGGGTTTTTTTTTCACAGCAGCAACCTTCTCACATTAATTTTTAGTGTCAAAGCTGGAACTGGTTTCCATGCCCTGGTTTATATTCTGGAGGTCACAATGCCTCCCTCTATTCTTATTTTAAGATCTTTTTTGTGGAAACTGTTCTGGCCCCTGCGGGCTGATCGGGAAGACAGTCCAGTGTGAGACTGTAAATGATGCAGGATTATGTTAGAATCTGACTTCACTTTAAGTAATCATATGTCTCCGGAGTGTGTCATGGGTGACACTGAAAATGTAGGCTGATTGGCAACCAAAGGAAGAACCATAAGGGTGGATTGCCAAAGTGCTGGTTTGTTAAATTTAGTTTGCTAAACCTGAGTTGTCCTAGTTTAACTTCTGCTTTCTTCTTTAAAGAGAATACTTTTTTCTGTAGGCAACTGAGTGATTTTTGTGATTACTGTTTTTCTTGTAGCATCCAATTGTTGCAGGCAAACAGATGTATTTCAAAGCCAAGAATAAGGATTTTAAGAAGCATCATGTCTGCATAAAGTAGTTATTTAACACCTTCCCTTCCCCCCTCACCCCAGCCCAACCACCCCCCCCAATAACTCCTCTCGGTGAGATCTGGAGAAAGCTTTTTGTTATGAAAAGCTCTTGGTATAATAGGGGGAAGTTACTTTGCATGTGTTGAGTGCAGATATGAAAATGGAAGAGACAGGCCTGTTTTAGGTCTGTTGAATAAGGGAATCTGGGAAGTAGAAACATACTGAAGGAGAAGCAGAAGAGCCACTGTGGAAGGACTCTGATGATAATGAATCTGTATATGTATGTATATACTGTAGCCCTTTTTTGGGACTATGGTTGTTTTTAACATGCAGTATCACAAAACATACACTGGTATGGAGAACAGTTGTTACTGACATTGTCACTAGTTCCTCTGGTCAATTACAGCTGTTTCATTCTAATTGCCAGTGCATCTCTGATCATAATTTTTCATCTATTGATACATCTTTGTTTTATAGAACAATTGTTTCAAATTTATGTAAAGCATAATTTGACAAATGCTGCTTACACAGTAGAGAGGAAATGAAACTCATGTGATGCTCAGATGTCTCTTCTTAGGTATTGTCGGGAGAGTCTGTGTTGGCAGCTGCAGCCATGGGAGCAATAATTATAACAATGCGTTACAAGAAGCAACAAGAAGGAAAGTTACAAACACTAATCTTTGGCATCCAGTGTACTGTCATTACATAGCTTTGCTCTGATATTTAAACGTATATCTGTTTCATGTTTATCTTTCATGTGTTTATAAACATTGTATTCATTAACACTTGAAGGAGATTAAGTTTCTAGGCAGAGAGTATCTTCAGTGTTTGTGTAACACACAGTGTAGTTAGTACCTAACTACCACAATACTGTTGCTCTTAAAAATTGTTCTTCTGTATCTTACTGCAATGAAAATCATGTGTGACAGTAAAAATATATTAATTTGAAAAGCTGTATTTAATTCCAGCAACTGGATGTACAATCAGCTAGCCCTGCTCTTTTAAGAAAATATGTAACAGTACCTTTAAAATACTACTTTCCAGTAAAGGTGAAGTTTGAAAGTACAACTAAAACCTGTGTGAGAATGGAACATGGAAAGTTGAAATGCAGTAAGACTTCTTGCTTGCTTATTACTTGCTCATAATTTGCATAGTAAGAGGCTGTTTACTTAAAGGCATTATGGAACTTCTTCCTCCTTGGGTGAATGGATGAGATCTTTCCAATATGACTTCAAAATCAGACTTAAAAAACCTGTCGTAACACAGTCCAGCAGCACTGCTTAAGAGAACACGACTCAATCCTGCAAAGTAACACCAATGATGCAAGAACATCTTAAACTAGTTGATGTGCTTAACTAATGACTTCTAAAACATTCAAGGTAGTAACTTTTGTCCTTTTGGGTAGTATTAGACTGCAACCTATTACCGCCACATGCAACACTGGTCCTTTATTTGTTGTAAGAAAGATCTGTCCTCAGAGCTATTGGTCATGATTAATGGTTTAAGCTAGTGAATTCTACTTTACCTTGGGAGACACTAAGAGTGGGCCAAAGGTCAGTTACTGGAACGTAGTGGATGTTTATTTACAGCAACTCACTTGCATTGGATTCCACAAGTCCTACAGACTTCAGCTATTGCATTCAAGAAGACCAAAAAAAAATCTGAAAAAAGTTAGTGTGCAATGTTTTCAGATTTTTGAAAGAAAAACAGAGTGTATTTTAAAGCCAAAACTAATGTAAAATTTAAAAATTCAGAAACAATAGAGAAGTTCATAGTGGGTCAACCTATAACTGCATAATGCAGACAGACTCATTGAATGATGCTTTCTAATATTTCTTGCACTCTCTGAATACTCATGTTCCATCAAAAGTCTTGGTAAAATAGGCAAGTTGTATAAGATCCTGAAGGCCTATGTACAGGGCTTATTTCAGACTGGGAATAAATTTGAAGGTTATGGATTCTCATAATACCTCTTCGCTGTCATGCTGTCTTCTAAAGCAGAAACTAATAGCTTGAGTACTTCCGCTAATCCTCTGTGTAAAAGTGTATTCCGGAAAGCCGAGGAAATGCCTTCCATTGATAGATCCCCAGAGTCTCAAATCTTTGGAGGTAAAACTTAATTTAAGCTCTGCCTAGAAAATAGTATTAGGGCAATACAAATTAAAAAGTGTAGTAAGCTCTCAAGGTAAAATTCTAATGCACCTTCTATTTCTGTATCTGTTTACTCACGATGCTTTTTTTCATGTCAGACGTCTTTGAAAGTAAAGTTTTGAAGTGGTTTGTCTTCAGTTAGGGCTCAAAGAGTCCATCTGAGATCATGGCTTTTTATGCTGGATGCTGTACAGACATGCACTGAGGGGCAGCCTCCTGCCTCTGAAAGTTTATAGCCCAGCTGAACAAAATGAGTAAAGGATAGGAAGAGAAAGTAATACTGTCACATTAATAGCTAGGGAAGCCAAGACTGAGCAAGAAATTTGCAGTAGAGCAGAGAACTGAACCTGTAACACTTACATCCTCTGTCTTTAGTACAATATTATTTTTCCTCTTGATTAAACTCTGCAAATTCATTTCACTCATTATGATTTTTTCACTTTAGCTGTGATCTAATACCTACTGAACGTAAGAGGAAAAAACTCTGCTGTAATTTGATTTTTGCTTTTTTGCCCCCCTTTTTTTTT